CAGAAAACTAAAATTTAATAAAAACCAGTACAAGAAAAATACAAACATTGCGGACTCCAAATTTTGTCGGATGTTTAATGAAAGTCTTGTTACAAAAATATTTTCAAGCTGTATATTGTTTTCGCCATCCATCGTGCATAATGAAAGATACCTGGAGTTCGAAAATAATTACTATAATAAGATTTACCACCCAAAAATATAATTGATAAATTTAATAATTCGTTGTAATCTTAGTTAAATTATTGGCTATTATTGCATTACAATATTTAATAATATCTTCTGTTATATAATTTAATTTCTAGTTACATTTTTATCCTTAATACCTGGTTTTATATTCTTAGTCTGTGACCAATTTTGCTAACATTTGTTTAATAAATTTGTATTAGGGCCAGTAGATTGAGCTATATTTTTATAAAATAAGAATGATTTCAAATACATGGTGTCTACAAGGTAAATAGAGAAGATCCTTTTCATGCTTTTGTTTTAAAAGAATTTATGCTCCTTACTAAAGCTTGGTCTTTACCCGTTCCCGATTTTATGAAAGGGACACTGTTTATTTCCATCAAAACATTACTATCGGAAGTTTATCGACATCATCTTTCCTAGTTAGAAATAATCTTTTCACAATCCAAAGAGCCTCTTAATAGTATACTGTACTGGATCTCGTAAACTAGCGTCGTCCCTACGCATTATATCAGATAAATTATTTATACAAAATAATTTCCATTACATTTTGGTTGCATACTAAAAATGTTAATGAAATGACCAAGGGCATATTTGAGTTGAAACCATGGAGGGGACGAAACTAATTTTTCTTCAATAAAAACTTAAAAATAATTTTTAGTTTATTGCCTACAGCTCATGTTTCTGTTATATTAATAGACTATTAATTTATATTCTTAATTATTTATACATTACATTTTTTAAGTAAATCAATGTATTATATTCAACAAAAATTCGAGCCATGGAGGGGTGAATGCCCCTTCGTTCCCCTCAAATACGCCCTTAGAAATGACGCAATTCATTACTATAAAAATAACGGCTTAACAGTAACGTATTACTTTCCGTTACGTTACTACTCAACATCAGGAATATGTTCATGACTTATTTTTCATGAACTTAAGAATACTTTTTTACCAACAGCTAAGACAAGCATAACCACTGCCCCCTCTAAACCCGGAACTAAATGCAACCCATAGATATATAAAAATAGTATAATACATGGAATATACCATAGATATAATATATTATGTCTATGGAATATACAGCTATTAGGCCGGCTTGTCGTTACTGCAGTATCATTTTCATTCTGTGCAGACCGTCTTGTTTCTTGTGATAGGATCACGTCTGATACACATTTCTACGACATATGTTTATTATCATAAACGTTATCATATTATCAACCTTTGAACTTATTATTTATACTTCGCCATTCAGTGATAACGATCGTTAAAACTTCTTACCAATTAAAAGTCGTTCCTAAATAATTTCGCTCATTATTTAACTTATTAATGTTTAATTTAATAATATAATCTCCCCCTGTGCTTCTAATCAGTCAATAGATCTAGACGAATGCACTTTGAAAAAATGAAAGTATTTAAATCGTTTTAATACGAATAAAGAGACGAAGATCGCATTTCAAAAACAAAAACCCTTTGTTGTTGTTATTGACGAATATCGTATTGTGAGTACTGCATTAATCACTTTGAGTTTATTGTCTATTTATTTATTAATTTCTTAATATCTCTTAAAACAAGTATATTTATACTTATTGTTTTTGAATAATACTTACTTGGAACAAGAAGAATGCAGGGTATTGAAGTATTATTTTAATTTTTTTTTTTTGCTTGTAATATGAGTTAGTTAACAAATAAAATTATTCTATCTGCATAAAAGAAGAAAAAATAATAACAATTGTTTTAAAAAAATGTAGTGTTTAATTAAGTTTAAACTATTACCACAGTATTATTTGCTTGTTTTTATAAAAATATTTGTATTATATTGTCATGAATATTTTATTTATGTGTGTAGCCAGTTGATTTAATTAAGATCTTTTGAGCCTAGTGGTATAGCTAGAATATGAAAAACTGTGCTTTTGTCTGGGAAGTAAATTATAAAGTTTTACTTTAAACATATTTATTTAATTTTTTTTTTAACTTTATTTGTTAAAAGGGTGAGTTATTTAACATTTGCCTGAAAAGTTAGCAAAACTTCATATACTACTGGAACTGAGTAACTTAATCAAGTGCAATTGTCTATTTTACATGAAAAACAATTCATAAATGGAAGTACAATAACATATTTTTATATTTAACTAATAAAATGATAGTTTTTTCATGCTTTACTATTAATATTTCTAGAAACTTCATGATATGTGATCTAAAAGAGAAAAAAAAACTATTTGCTACAATATTGTTTACTAGAGTACCATTTAATAACCAAAATATTAATATAATTTGTAAATTAATACAATATTATTTTTATGAAAATAAAACACTGTAGAAACTACCTGTAATTAGAAAATAAAATTTATTTTTTATTTTTTGTTTAGTGTTTAATTTTACAGTTTGGGACACTTATTAAAATAACACCATAGAATTTTTGTATTTTGAGTATAATTAATTCTATTGTGACGGATACTTATTTTATTAATTTCAATTATTTTAATACATAAAATGAGATCAGTTAGTTTAGATATGTATTTATACATTTTTTAGTAGTTTAATAGTTCAATACATTTTTATATACTAAGCAGTGGCGTAGCCAGGATTTTTTAATGGGAGGGGCTAATCACTTTTTTGGATAAGTAAGGTAAGAGAGGATATGATAATTCACCCTTAACCTCCCCCCACCATCTACCACCAAGTTTTTAAATGTAATTCAAGCATTTTAGTATAGTTTTAAAAATATTTATTAATATATAATTTATAATAATAATAATAATTTTGGTTTCAGTGTTTAGTCACTTGCTCCACTTTGACAGCTGCATTCTCTTAGGCAAATTTCTGGCAAATTCAGTTATTATTTCACTTTCATCGAATTTTTATTTATATTAGCCATAGCTAACCCATTCAGTCTGTTTTCTGACATGGTGCTTCTTAAATAATATTTTAAGTGATTAAGTGCAGAAAACATTCTTTCCGGAGTGGAAGAGGCAACTGGTAACGTGGCAAATAATTGTAAAAGTATTTTAATGTTAGGTTGAAGATTGGTGCAATGAGAGAGTGAATCAACAGCAGAATTCGGTTTTGGAATAGTATTTTGACTCCATTGTTGCCTCCGTATGAATACCTCAGCTCTGATTGTAGATGAGGTATCATCATAGAGATCTTGGGCATACATTTTAGCAGCTTTAATAATATTTTCATCGTCATACATATTTAAATTAGCCGGAATAAGTCCTTCTGGTGGCATAACAACAATAAGCCTTTAATTAAAACGAGCATCCATTGATTCTATTAAATATTCAAGAAAAGGAATAAAAGTATAACATTTAAAATATATTTCTGGATTTTCAGAAATAAAGTTTTCTCTCTGAGTTTGCCTTTTACATATTCGTGGCATTTTTATTTCAATAATAACATTTTTTCCCATGTTGACAACGTCATTAAATATTTGATAGTGATTCGCCACAACCTTGCATGATAACCATCAAAAAGATAGTGATAATCGTGGTAGAAACTAGAAGTATTAGTAATCTGTAATATCTATTCCAAAGACAAACACCTGTTATTCGTTTATCGTCAAAATTTAATTTATACCAAAGGTTTAGAATACTTAAATAAAAATAGTAGTATACTAGTCTAGTACATAGATACAATATACATATAAACACGGCCCATGGGGGGGCTATAGCCCCCTTAACACCTCCCTCCCCCTTGGCTACGCCACTGATACTAAATACTGTATACTTTATATACTCTTGGTCTTATGCCTCTTAATGTCTCTATAATAGTCAAAATCTAGTAACCAATAGTTCAAATTGATCATAAAAAATAAAGTTCAATAAAATACTATTCAAATGTAAATATTTATTATAAAACTAATTAAATTTTAAACTAAGTGATGTGAATCTAATCTTTGATTACTTTAATTATTAAATGATCTAAAGTATGTTAATTATGTTATTATTAGGGAATGGATTTATATGTAATAAAAATACAGAAATATGTACATATGTATGTAAGTATAATTTATAAAATATGTGCTAAAAACATCCAAACATGTAGGAAAAAAATTTAATTAAAAAAAAAAAAAAATTATAATTATTAAATTATCAAAATGATTTGTTGCATTGAATTATTACAATATCTTTTAAATTATCAAATATTAAGTGTCGCCTATTAGATCTGAAAATATTTTTAAAACTGCTAAATGATCGTTCCACATCAACCTACATCAGTTGATTAAAGCTTAATTGAAGCTCATAATATCAGAAGGAGATAATTCCATATTAGGTGTCTGCCACTCATTATGTCATTGATTGATTAAAAATCATTATAGCCTGGAATTTTTTTTTGTAACAGCATGAATTTTCTTTTTTATATCTCCTATTGATCCGCTTACGAGTTTTCTTTTTGCAATCGTTGATTCGACAATTTGCATACTTTCATTTAAGAACATATTTTTGTTTCTAATTTTGTAAATGTATGTGCAATAAAACTAAAATTCACTGAGATGAAAATTAAATTAGTTTTTAAAATTTCATTTTGCATAATATTTTGAGCTTTTCCAATAGCGATAGAAGTTACTGAATCTACATTTGAAATAATTTCTTGTACTTTTGTACGAAGAAGACGTGTGAATGATGAAATGATAAAATATGTTTAAAAATATTTACAAATTAGTGAAATATATAAAATAAAAGTAGCATCATATTAATAGGAATGATTTAAATCGTGAACATTTCTTATCGAATCTTAAATATCTCTTTTTAATAAAAATATGTATTTACATATAAATCCGTTCCCTAGTTATTATAATTGATAGTTATTATTTCAAAAATTACTATTCAAAGAGCAACTGGACTATTTAAATTATTAGTATAAAAATTGTCAACAAATGTTAGTATTTTTACTTTATTTTCAAAATTTTAAATATTAATATTTTTGTTTTAGTAATGGAAGACATTAATAGATTGATTCATCAGTTAAAACGTAGTGGAGAATATTTGGTCACTGGTCATGAAAAGTTAACACTGGATATAGAAGTTCTACACACCATTATTACAAGAGTATTACCATCTCTTCATACGGATCATAATATAAATCATCACTATTTATCTGAAATTTTAAAAAAAACAGCCAAATTAAAATTATTAAAATCATTCAATTTGGATCTCCAGGCACATATTAATCTTACCCCTTTTCAAAGTTTAATTTATTTAGAACTTCATGATATAGATGTAGAATGGCTGATAGGTTTAAATTATGAGAAAATAAAATTTCTTATAATACATGGTCCAATCAAATCTTTAGCTACATTGTTAAAACGAAAATGGGCTAATCTACAATATTTAGCATTAAGAGGTGGTCATCTTGGAGTATTAGATGAGTCAATATTACTTGCGCCTACTCTTACATATTTGGAAGCTCCGAGAAACTTGTTAGTAGACCTTGAAAACATAGAAAAGTTGGAGTGCTTGGATTTTTTAAATTTGAGCATAAATAGACTAACACGAGTGCCTATATTAAGTGATTATGGTGCTAGAAATTTGACCGTTTTAATATTGAGCTATAACTGCATAAATAATTTAACAGGTAATTTTGTCTTAATTTACTAAACTTTTTAAAATACATATGAAAAAACATTTTTAGTTAAGAATAAGAAATTAATCATTTATATTTTTCTTTAATAGAATCAACATTCTACCAAATTTAATTAGATTAACTAAAGTATAGATATGATTATGATTATGATTAATGTATAAAAATTTATTAGATTCCTATAGTAAATTATAATCAACTATTAAACTGATTGTCTATAATTAACAAAAATATTTATTTAAAAAAAGTTTTCACAGTTTCACAGCTTGTCTTGTTAAGAAGCGTGTCTATTAGCGCAAAGGTTATTTTTTATTATTTTTGCTATTGAACATTACATAATTAATAAAGAGGTTCCCCCCTAAAAAAAAACTCATATCTTCTCACATGTTTTGACATTTTGTATGGTAATATATGGCAAAGCCTATCATGACTTGGTGTATCGTTTAAAATGTCAGCCCTCCTTTAATTCCTATAAATTTCCCCCCATAAGAAGGTAAGGGACAAAGAGTAAAATAGATGACCCACAAGGAGTTAAAAAGTAGATTACATTAATTAAATTATAAGATTATCTATATCAAAATCTCATTTATTAAACATTTTTATTATTCTAAATAATATTAATGAAAATAATAGCTTGATAAAAATATTGGTGCTAATTCGGTATGCGTTCTACCAATAAGTTTCTGATTCGGTATGTGCTCTACAGTCTACATAGATTATTTTGACTGGGTTTTATTTTATATTTATATTTTTTATATTATTTTATTGATGATTCTTTATAGACAAGTGACTGAGTCAGTTATTTTATATTTTATATTGTTATTTATGATTCGGTTTGGGTTCTAACGAAATGTGTCTGAGTCGATATGTGTAATTTTGACTGAGTTATATCAAAAACGATCTCTATTCACTATCTGAAAGTCTTCTAACTTGGCGAAAAAAAAGGTTCGGACTGTCTTGATGGTAAAGTCGCCAGCAATAGTGATAAAAATTATCAACATTATTAACAGTTGAAAGAAATACCCAATATAATAAATAAAACCTAGGCAGATAACACATATACAGTAATTGCAATCCAATATCCGTGTACCGAACGCAGACCTAGTGTAGAACGCTAAAATCGGTAGAGCGCATACCAAATTAGCACCAAAATATTGTCTAATATTTTTATGTCAAAATACGAAAATGATTGCTTTTTAATTCTTTACCAAAGCAACAACACACATACAAATTTGCTACGACACACTTGTCTTTTGCTACTACACAATACGTGTGCTATAACACACAAAAATAAGCCTTGTATTAGCTATTAAATAATTAACGGAACACACGTTCGTTGTGCTTCAGGCGGCCGTACAAAATTTAGCTATATGTCTTTAAATGTAACACATGATTGTTTGGAGGACTAATTTTTATCGTTCCGCGTATCGCGTTGATCATGGGAATAAGATTTTGTGTTTATATTTCATACATAATAAGTTATTTTTTTCAAATTTATTTTTATTTTACCATTACAAAGAGCTTCGAGAACTTAAGAAAATTGAACGTTGATTAGTATATTATATGTACCCATACCTATAGCTAAAATATAATTTCTTACCTATTAACATAGGTAGTATCTTGCAAATTATTTGTGCACCACTTTATGTGAACCTTACTAGTCGCCACTATAAACACATTGCATAATTTATTTTTTACTTTTTAAATTAATAAAGTTATTTAATTAAGTAAATACAAACGGGTTTTAAAACCTTCCATGTGTATTTTAAAGATTAATTATATTAAAAATATTTTGTAGTATTATTTTCTTAAAATGGTTCTAAACATGTATAGAAATATTAATGTTTATATTTATTGTATTTTTTATATTTATAGGTTTATCTAAGTTAGCCAATTTAAAAGTATTAGATTTGTCAAATAATATGATTGTGCGTCATGAATCTATATCAGCTGTTGGGGATATGGCCTTTTTAAAATATTTAAATTTAGAACATAATCCTATAGCTTATATAGAGAATCATAGAGAAATAACTTGTAGGTATCTTCATGAAAATGCTGCAGTTGAACTTGTAAGGAATTGTATAATAATTCATTTAATTTTTTGTGCTTTGTTTATGATTATTTCTGTTAAAGTTTGAACTTGACGATCAACTTCTTTCAAAATCAGAGAAGAAATTTGCTGGACAGTCTTCTAGATCATTAGATTTGTCATTTCTACATTACCAACAGTCTCCTAGTAAATTACCTACTGATAATGAATTGTAATGAATTAACAGTGTTTTTATGTTATTATGTTTTGTTTAGCAAGTGTTAAAGCGAAAAAAGTAAGATCTCCAATAATTGAAGATCACATATGTGATAAAAATAGTGTTATTCAAACAACTACCCAAAAAACTACCCCAAAAAAAGGTTCAATCCATTTAATTCTATTTTAGTAATGATTACATAAAAACAAAAAAAATTTGTATAGAAATTTTGAAGTCAGAACATTTAACTACTAAAAAACAAATAGAAAGTTTACGCGAAATGTATGGTGAAGAAAACTGGTTACATAGTCATGCTGGTAGCTATGTTCAAGATATATTGGGTATTAAACAGCAGTCGGAAAATGAATTGTTTCCTCAAGCAATCACTGTATTGTTTTAATTAATTTTTGATATTAATAAATGTAATAAAATACTATTTGTGATTTTATTGTTTTGGCGATATAGGAAAAACAACCTATTGAAGAATCAAATAATTTTACTGGTGAAAAGGAATGTTCTGTACTAAGTAATGAATCTCACAAAGAAATGAATGTTAAAACAGAAACAGTACAGACATTACATGACAGTTCAAGTCTGGAATACTCTAAATTAAATGAAAAACCTATAACATTTTCAGGTTAGCTAAGGTTTATATTTATAAAATATTTTAAATTTTTCTGTAAGGTTTATATATTATAGCTATACATTAAACAATAATTATGTATTCAAATATATTATTTTATTTTTAGGAAAATATTGGAGGGCTCAAGTTATAGATTCAAAGACTGGAAAATATTCCAATATTTGTTTATGTTTAACAGAAAGGTTAGTATTTTAACAAAATATGTTAATAATTATCTTACATTTTTGTAAATTTATATAATTTAATCTATTTTTTTTTTTTTTTAATCAATTTATAAATTATAGATCACTAAGTATTCTTTATGTGTGTATTTTATTGTTTTGATTTTTTTTTTTTTTTATGTAATAATTTGGTTTATTTGCTTATATTTGATATATTTCAGTATACCTGTTCTTATATTATTTTCTTTAACAACATACTCTAATAATTTATCTAAATCTATTTATACATAATCATTATTTTTTAATTAGACCTTAAACATAAATATTAATTTCAGAAATATGATTATAATGTTATAACTTTTAAAAATAACATGATTTAGTTATTTAATTTCATATAAAGAATACTATGCCCCTCTGGGCCCTATAGTTTAATATATAATTAATACAATAAAACTGATATATTAATTTGTAGAAACTAAAAAATTAAATAAACTTAGTTAAATGTATATAATATAAATGTATTAAAAAAATGTCTAATATGTGATAGACACTATTTAATGCTATTCTTATATTATTTTAAATCAGTGAAACATGAATCTAGCCAATATGTTGTACCATTATTAAAATGTTTTAGATTATAATTTAATATAGTTTCTAGAAATATGTTTGCTATTTTAGTTATTACAGTTATATGTTGCATTTTGGTAGTTGTTATAGTACTATCCCTTATAAAGTTTTATTTGGAAATTTGTATTATTATAAGAAGAAAAGTTTTACAATTTTTTTTTTGTTATAAGTTACTGTGACTTTTTAAATTAGACTTTTAATTGTTAGTACACAGAAATTATTATAAAGGTCAACTGTGTATTGATAAATCCTTTTAAAAGACAATTCTTAATAGATAATTTTAATTTGTAGTATTTTAATACATAATCATAAGCCCCATCCTAGCCAATGATTTCTATAATGTAATAGGTTCAGTGATGGCTTTATAAACTGTAAAGAGTTGTATCTCCTATTAAAAATATTTTCCTAATCTTGTTTGATACTTGATTTATATGTTTCTTTCAAAGTATGTTAATACACATTTTTATTCCTAAATATTTTGTATGTTTATTTATTGTAATTTTTTTACAATGTTTTTGAATTTAATGAGTACTTCTTGGTTCATAATAAATAAATAGATTTTATTTTTGGCAATGTTGTTTTTATTAAAAATTGAAATTAAATACAAAATTTTTCTTTACTTAAAACAAATTATTATCTGCTAGCCATAATTCTATTAAATGTATATCCATTTTAATATTATGATTTCATTTATACTAGTTTTTTCCACAAAACCATATATTATCGGAATAGCAGACAATTGTGCTATATATATATATAGCAATAAAAATAAGTTATATATTTATTTAAAAAAATAATTTATTGAAATGTTAAGTACAAATAATAAACACATTTATTAATTGCCACCATATTGCATAATTGGCATAATTGCCACCATTGATTAAGCATTTATCATAAAGAGCATTTTGTTTTTGTATCCCTTTATCATAGAAATATGCTATCTATGATCGCAACCATGTTTTTACAGCTTCTTTCATCTTGTTATCATCGTTGAAGTTTTGACCTTCCAGAAATTACATTCTGCTTAAGCAAAATCTACAAGAAATTGTTTTGTCACATTAGTTCCTTGTGGGTGAACATTGTTCTAAAAAAATAATAATACTGCAGCTAAAAATATATTGCTGCTTATTAAATAATGGTGGAAACTATATTGAAAAATAGTTTAATATTTGTACTTAACGTTTCAATAAATTGTTTTTTGTATATTTTACTTATTTTTATTACCCAACAGAATTTACTTTCTGTACATACCTCTTATATTAAATATTATTTTTGACTGAGGTACCTATGGGTACTTCACACAATACTACTTTCTCATCACTAAAAGTGCAATTTTTTTTTTCTGAACATGAAATTAACCAATGGATATCACATGAAAATATGATTTTTGTTATTTTATAATGATAAAATTTAAATTTGTAAAACACATATACTTTTTCATTTGGACAAATTAAATTTTCTTATCTACAACTATAATAAAATACACTATTACTAATACATTTATTGCAGAGAGTTAAAAGAAAGAAATTCTATTGATGGTCATTTGCTTGCTACCTGGAGTCGAAATTCAATAGAAAGTTGTGTGAAAATAAGCTTTGATCCTATTAAAATTCAAATGAACTTTATGACCATTCGAAGGAATCTAAATCAAAGAATTTATATAATGAGTGATGATAGTGCAAGGGTATGTTAACTTTCTTCATATTTTAAAATTATGAATTGTATTGCTATTTAAATTTGTATGTAGTTTTACAAAGCAGTTTAGAAGTAAATTTTTACTTAATTATTTTAAATATTAATATATATTTATTATTTATGTTTTAAGTTTTTTTTTTACTAAAATATTTGTAATTTATCAAATTTTGCACAGCAAAAATTTCATTTAAAAGTTACCGAACAATTTTATTTTAAATTTTTTATAAATTATTTTATTACCTATATGTATGGTATTTATTGCAATTTATCTATTTAAATAACTCTGTATTGCAAATGTTTTTATAAAAATAAATATAATAAATAAATAATAATATAACAAAAATGTTTTGAAAATTTAAAATAATTAATAAATATTTATACTTTTTCGGCTTGTCTTAGATAGTCTGAAAAGTATGTAGTTACATTGTTATATATATATAGTTATATATTTACCAAAGAAATGTACATTAGTAAATTTTATTTATTTTTTGATTATCTCTAACTTTATCTTATTTTAATTAACTAAATAGTATACATTTGTATTTAATACCATGTTACATTTTTTCTTTCAGGAATTTATAAGCATTATTTGTACAGAGCTAGAATCAAGAACATTGAGTGAAATGAACCAATTAGTATTTAAATGTGTTAAATGTACCACAATATTTTGTCAAGAAAATAATAGACACATTCTTAGTAAGTAATGATAGTTAAAAAAATATTTCAAACTAATAAATATATCCTTCATAATTCAGATTTTTTTTTCTTCTATTTTATAATTTATGATATCTAATCTTAACAATACTTATTTTTAGATTTGGATTTTTAGTTAATAAAATGTTCATTATAAAAAATTAACTGTTGTTAAAATTTTTCTAAAATTTGGCCATTGACTTTAACAGAGAAATAAAGTAATGATTTATTACAATTTAACCATTTCAAAAATAAATAATTTATTAGCTCTTAAAAAATAGTTTAAAATATTTAAATAAACTTTATTATCTATACTAATGTTACAAAGAAGTATAGTTTATTAGCTTGAGAGTTTTTTTGTTGGAAGTAATTTCTATAAATACTGCTGATTTTGAAAATTATTTCATTAGTAGAAAGCTACATTATTTTTAAATGATTTGGGCTACATTTGATTGTGATTAATATTATTTTTTAATGTGAAATAACAATATATGTCAATCAATTTTGTTAAAATGGACTGATGCATTGATTTATTGGCGTGTGCTGAATATAAGTGAATATTATGTCATTAGAGCATATTAGTTAGCCTATTTGAGTGACAGCTATGAAAACAAATTTCAGCATTGATTACTCAAACTTGGAGAAGGAAAAATTACCCTCCTAGCACTAACTAATTGAACTTGATAAATTAGATCAAATAATCCATAAATTAGAACATTTAATGGAAACAATTTATTTTGGTCTTGAAAATGTATTGGAAAACAATTATTACTGTCTTTATTCGAGGGCAATAGTGTCACTCAGAAACTAAACAGTAAATTAAATTAATTTATTAATTTTACTGAAAATTCAAGTAAAATAGTATGTTAATACAGTGTGTAATATCAAGGATAAAGTGCATTTTCTTTAAGAATTTTCAAATTCTTTCAAAGCTCTTTTGGCATATCACCTTACAATATTTTGATGGCATTTCTATCATGTTGTTAAGAAACTTGAGCCTTCCCAACATGTATAATGATACAAGGCTACTGATAAAAGAATTACGTGACATTATAATCGTGATGACTATTCTCATGAATCCATCAATGAGAAAACTTGTTTATATACCCAGTTTACCTAGTATTTCCTAGTAAACCCAGTACTAAAAACCATACAATATAATTTCATCACAAGTAAAAATGTTTGACCCAACGAAGGTCAATTGGGGTGATTCATATTTTGGTTGACAAAATAATAATTATTAATATTGTAATAAAATTATTAACACATTTTTTTTTTTATTAAATAAAAAAAAAATTGTAAAAGAGAATGTCAAATATTAAAAATTAATCATGTATTATTTACAATATTTTATTTTATTATTTAAAATATCAATTGTTTTCCAGAAGAAAAAAGAAAAATTTATTGCCCTAATTGCAACAGTTCAATTGTTGTTCAAATGGAAGAAGAACCTCTCCCATCTGCTAATAAATTGAAACAAAATTTAGCTGAAGAAGAAAATTCCAATGATTCAACACCTGTTAATTCAAGATCTAGTATGCACATATATTTTTATTAAATTATATAATTGAATATTAATAATTTTTTCATTTAAGGTTCAGAAGAACCAGAACAACAACAATTATCAAGAAATGATAGTGATATAGAAATTATAAGTAACCCTAGCGAAAATTCTGTTGAAATTCTTGAAGTAATTTCAACGTATGTAAATCTTAATAAATAATTATTCATTTATAAATTAAACTCTATTAAGGTTAGGTTAGGTTAGTTAGGTTAGTTAAGGCCCTTCAAAAACTGCTAATCCTAGCAGTGTAGAAATAAAGATAAATTAGTTTAATAAGATAAACTTTTTCATAGAATAAAGAGATAAATAAAAAATATTTGATTTTTTTCAAATTTAAAATATATTAACTTTTCTTTATTTATATTCTGTACATGATTACTCGTGTATCATATCTATGATTATCTTATAATTTGTTTCTTATTTAAAATGAAAATATTTTTTATTTATAATTTTTATTTTTAATAATATTATTAACTCATAAAGTATTTGAATAACAGAAACTTTCAAAGATTCAACATTCTAATTAATTAAACATTTAGAAATTTGAGAATTTTATTTATTTTTCTTCCTATAGAATTAAAAGATAATATTAAATTAAATGTTATCTTATTCTCATTAATTATGTATTTTATTTTCACAATTAAAATTACCAAATAAGTTGTTTTTTTTTCTTTATCTATTTTAGTTTTTGATAAAACAATAACCATGATTAAAGTGATGAGACAATATTTTTATGATGTTTATAATTTAAATGACGTGCTATATCTACATTTCTTTATGTATTAGATTTCTGTTTTCATCAAGCTACAATTTAAGTAATACACATATATTTACTTTTATTTTATATGTTGACAAAAACATTTAGTGAAAGTAGTATAGTCTACTGTACTAAACTCAAAAATATATCCAATTTATATTTGATTAGAACTCATAATTACTTTATCTGTTAACAAAAGATCCTTATTAATGTTCAAATGTTTAAATATTTATATTCTACGTGCTTATCATTGTAAATAATAAAATATGTTTCATTAGTTTTATTTAGACTTTCCTAAAATTATCATCTAAAACCCTTTTGATGTTAATCTAGTTGAACAATATTACTTATTATAGTTATATTTTATTTGAAGACAAAAAATGTCTTCTAGAGCCAGAATCTTTAACATTTGTATTATATTACAGAAAAGAAAAGAAATCAGAAAAAACTCAACTGACTATTGATGTTAGGACTGCATTGACAGAAAGTAGCTCTTCAGGTTTGTATTTCACTCATTCTATATTTGTTTTATATTATACTGCATTTGATAACATTTTAATAAATGTTAATTAATTTTAATTATTTTTAATAACATTTCAATAATAACTAAAATTGTTTAGTATTGTTATTGTATAAAAGAAAAAACTAAATTTACACTAAAATTAGTTTATTTGGTGCATTTCTGATAAATTCATTATAATTTAGTCTTTATTTTACCATTATTTACCAGCTATCATGGTAAATACTACAAATACAATGTTGATTTTTAGTTAATTTTAGTCATATTTCTAATTATGTAGGTATAAACTTAACATGATGAGTATTTTCAACATCAACTAAGTATTTTTTGTTAATCCTATATTATAAAATATTTACTAAAATGAAAATGTATATAAATTGTTTACAATTATTTAAGTAATCTTATTTTATGACATAATATTAATGATTTATTTAAATAGTTTTTAATTCGTAAATTTTGTAGTTTATTTCATATGTACATTTGATACTAATTATATGTAAAACATTTAAATATGTCATTAGTGTATTTTATATATATAACATCAATTTTGTATATTTGGTTCAGGTATCATCTGAATTTAATAATTATAAAAATAATGCTTGCCATTTTAATAATTTTATAAGATTTATTTTAATTTAATTAAATAATTCTTAAGTTTAAATTTAGATATATAATAAAACAATTTAAAAAATATTAACCAAATTCTCTTCTTACTACCCAACAGTTAATTTTTGAAACATTTATTTATTGTGTTTGTTTTTTTTTTTCATTTTAATCAAATTAATATTAATATTAGGATCAATGACGGATAGTGTGTGTACTGCTTATGAAAGTCGGAAAAAACGCAATGACAGTTCATCATTAAAAGGTATTGTACTTACAGCTACATATGATATAATGTATTGTGTTTTTTATACCATATTATGTACAAATATTTAATAAATATATTCAAAATATTTTATTTGAATTTTAGAAACAGGAATTAATATAGATTCTAGAATTCCATCAGTAACAGATATACCTATTCAATTTTCGTACAATGACTTTACTTCAATTGACCAACGATTAAAATTTTATATCCGACAAAAATATTTCCGAGAAAACGAAGAATTTAAACTAGTTTTTCGAGTATGCTATGTGAGTGTTTTTTAAAATTATTATAATTAACTATTGTTTTATTTAACAGTGTAATTGTATTATGACAAGTCCTGATAACCGTCTTGATGGATGTGTGATAATTTCCAACAGATCATTATATGTATTTAAATTCATTGGCCAACCAGATGAACTGTAAGCAAAAACTTTTTCTCATGATTTATTGTTTATTTTTATTCAATAATAATAATAATAATAATATTTATTTTGCAAAACAACATCAGATACATTTTATACATACATAAATTAATTAGTTGCAGCACCCCTTAAAAGCATTGCTTGTGCTGGGGGAGCAGTTCTTATATTATATTTACTTAAAATTAATACGTAAAATAATAAATTAGTAATAGAATATATTAAGAAAATAGCAAGTATAGTTATGTAATATTATAAACAGAGTAAAAGATAAAATTATGAAGAACAAAAGCATAGCAAAAGCAATAATAATAGCATAATGTTTTTGTATAGTTTACAAAAAGTGTCCAGTCATCGATTGAGCCTAGTCAAGTCAATTGCTACCCTGCCATGGAATGTGGGCTTAGCTATTTGTGTCACTCAACCAGAAAATGATATGAAATATACATTTGTTCTCTTTGTGCCGCATATTACTACACGATTAATCGCATTTTTAGAAAGTATGTATTTATTAACGAATATTTTACCATTTTCATTAAACCATGTAATTGAATTGTATGTTATAAATAAAATCATTATTTCAGAGATTAAACCATTTGAACAACGAGCAGTATTGATATCATCTCCTAATACTAATTCCTATTTATATGTGAACAATATCCTTTATAGAAATGAATTGCACTTACCTATTATTCATGTTGTGTTCTGCGAGAGTGCAACAATTGTTACAGACAACGGTAATTAGATATTAAAATTTTATTTTATTAACCTGAAATCCCATTGGTCTTAACAATGTTTATTGTTTTATATTTATTTTGATATATATATTTACTTTAGGACTGGTAGAGGTTATCGAATTACCAGGTGTTGTGATCACTGAATATGAATTAGTAGTATTAAGCGGTGAATGTACATGGCTATTACCTTATGAAGAACATTTTCCTACATTGGCTCATGTACAGAACATGAGTAATTTCAATCATATTGTAAGATATTCAAATTTAAAATTACTTATGTATATGGTCGTTTCCTTAATTACTCTATTCTGTATGGTTTCTTATAGGATAAAAATGAAGAAACACTTGGTTTACACTTCAACGATAATACATCGTGGTTATTAATTGTAAACAGCATTGAAGCTGAATATCTTATGGGCGAAACAATAAGAATACTAACAAATGCCAAGCAAAAATCAAGTTCTGCTATTCAAATAGCTGCTGGACTAAATTGCTCAACTCAAATCAATCAAATAGTTTAATAGATTTATAACAGCTCAAATTATTTCCTGGATTCCAATTACAGTAAACATAATATGTAATCAATATTTGATATTTTTAAATAAGCAACATTTATTTGTATAATAAAATAAAAATAATAATGAATTATTAAACTGTATAGCTTCTATAGACTTGCCCATATCATACAAGCTTCCTGAAACTATTAAAATTGTTGTTGGCACAAGGTTAATGTCCATAGAATGTGAATAATTATTTTTTATTATTGTTATTTATTACGATTAAATATTTTGTTAATACTTTTATTAGTTTATAAAAAATAATATATATATATAAAATTTATGAACATAACAGTAATTTTTGTATATAGAATTTAACTGCCTGTTTCATTTAGTCAACACCAGCTAGTGATACATCTAAAGTAGATAAATACTTTTATTTCTAAGAAGTACATCAATTAAGATTAGGGTTGCCATAAGTCCCAGAAAACTGGGATTGTCACCAGTTTTGAACTTCATGTCCCGGTGTCTCGAAAAATGTTTTCAGGACGTCCATATATCCCGGGTTAGACGTTTAGAGGAAATGTATTATTGTTTAATTTTTAATTTCGACCATTTTATTTCAAAGTACATTTTTAATTGTAATCAATTGACAATATATAATAAAAACATAATTTGTAATTTACACATATAAATATATAATGTATTTTATTTTACAAAAATATTTTTAAATATTTTATTGCCGGCCATTAATGGTCCTCTTCAGTGACGTATACATAACTTTTGTGTGGAGGAAGGATCATTTGCAAAGAAATCATTATTTTTCTTACGTTTCTAATGTCCTCACACTAAGAACATTATTTTATTTTAATTAAAAAAAGGTCTAGGGAGGATCTGATTCCCACATCCCCTTCATGTATACATCACTGGTCCTCTCAATATATTAAAAGTATATTAATCAATAATGTGTTTGTTTGGTCCCGGTTTTGCCTTATAAATTTATGGCAATCTTAATTTAGATGTGGATTATATGCACTCAAGTTCAAAAAAAGTATTGTAATATCATGGAAATTTCCAATATTGTGAATTATTGTTCTTGTACTAATATTTAATCATTCAAATAAGAAGTTTTGTATACATAGACATATTAAGATATATATATATACCTATATCTTAATATGTTTATGGTTGTATATCATGTAATTAATCGATATAAAATCCATGTGTATATTAACTATTGAACATTAGATCCGGTGACAGCTTCACAAGTCTAATAGCGTTTTCCACCTCACTGAACTGCCTTGACTACACCAGTGCATATTTTTATGTTCCATCGGCAAAATTAATGTGCGCCACCGAGTGTCCTTTTTAATGTTTCATGTCAATGCACTACGCCAGTTTTTCGTCCCCAGTGCAATGATAATCGCACGAGCCTCTTGTGGCAGTATATCTTATCGACCAGATTATTTTATTATAATAAATGATAAGAAATACAGTTTTGACGAGTTTATTGTGGTAACTTATGTACACATAAATCATAATTATAATTTTTTTTATCAATATAACTTTCTGCCCTTGAAGCTATAACTTTAGAAGTTATTAAATTATAAATTATAATATTATAGTGTAACATCAATATGGATGAACCAAAAATGATAGCTCTTATAGATACCTTTCGTCAAGTGCAGTGAAGAAGATATTGAAATCGTTGAACATATATTATCCAAAAAAAACAAATATAATTCCGAAAATAAATAATTATATAATATATTATGTATATATATATATTATATGTTGTTCATGCGTATACGAATAAAAAGATTTATATAATATTGAATATAGGATATAATGTATAAAGGATAAACGAGATCAAGAAACAAAAAAATTACACGGTAGTTTGAAAAAATGTACGTTTAGTACTAATTTATCTTCTAGCGCACAATCGCCAGGTAATACATTTTTAATAATAAGATGAAGTCATACTCTTATATTAACTATTATTTTTGTAAATTATCACAATTTATTATTTTTAGAAATAGACGTTACTGTAAAATATACCAACAAACATGAAATTACTGAAATTGAAAAATCTGTTGAAATCTGTGGTACTACTAGTACCTACTAGTACTAATTATTCATTATTCCATGCGACTGTTATAACTGAGGTATGTTTGATCGATATTATTGATATTAAACCCATAGGCGGATATCAGGGGGCTTGGGGGGGGGGGCTTAGATCCCCCCAAATATTTTAATTGTCCTCCAAAATCGAAACTATGTTAGAAATTTTATTCGTTATTTTTATAATTTATTTATAATTATCTGTTTATTTTTTTTGAAAATCGTAAAATAAGAAATAATCAAAAACTATTTACAATAGCATTAACAATACCAATTACATAATTTGGCTACTTGCGAAAGAAGTTTCAGTGCAATGAAAAAAATAAAAATTTGGTTAAGGACATTGTTGGTTGAAGATAAGTTCAGCAATATTTCAATACTATATATTGAAAAAGATATATCGAAAAATATAAAAAACGATGATATTTTGAGTATCTTTGCTAATACAAATAGTTATTTGTCATTAAAATAAAATATTAATTATTTTTAAATATACGTTATTTAGTGTTTTTTTAATACAATTTAAACATATCTATATTTTTAATGGTAATAAGTTTTACTTGTGTATGGGAAGGGGGTATGGGGACGAAGCCCCTGCGGGTTATTTTACATTGAATTATTATAGCCCCCCCCAAAAATTCAACTAAATATCCGCCTATGATTAAACCCAGATTTACTACCAAACAATTTTGCACGATTCTTCGATAATATTTCAACATAGCCACCGATAATTTCGGAAAGCTTTCGAGAATACTTCACTTTAAATACTCCAAAACAAAATATAGATTGTATTCATAATTTAAAAAAAAAAAACTATTCAAATAGTTCTACGAAAATTAACTAAAGAACATTTTTATTTCACTAAAAAAAGTGGTCATGAAATACATAGAAATTGGTTGATATATTCACCGTCGGCATTTATTTTGTTATATTTGTAAGCTATATTCACCGAATAACACGCTGTTGCGTAAAGAGAGTTTTAGCAATTGGCAACATTCTAAAGAACGACTTAGAGAATATGAAAATTAATTTGTTCATAGAAAAGTAATTTGTGATTTTTCAAACCGCTCTATAGATATTAAGCGTATTGATTGTCAACTAGTTTTATAGTATAAAAAAGATTTTCAGTATTGGAGGGACGTTTTAAAATGAACAGTATCAGTTATTCAATTTTTAACTCAAAGAGGATTAGCATTTTTCAGAGAAAATGAAATTATAGGAAATTATTATTAATTATTATATGGAAATTTTTTGGGTATTATGGAGTTAATAGCAAAGTTTGATCCATTTTTAAAAGAACATCTCAATAATTATAGGAACGTTGGTAGTGGTAAAACAAATTATATTTCATCATACACAGTTTGTGAAATCATAATTTTAATGAGAGATAAAGCTTTAAAACCTATAATAGAACAAACAAAAAATGCAAAATATTTTGGAATGATTGTTCACTTTACACCTAATATCACTTACATCGATCAATTAGCAATTATATTACGATACGTTAATTGTGATGGACAACCAGTTGAACGTTTTTTAAAATTCCAAGATATTAATGGACATACGGCTGAGTATTTAACTTATTAGTAAATCAGAATTATATATTTTAATATTTGTTATACATTTTTTTTCTTGGTTGAACCGTGTTGCCTGGTGGTAGTGATGGGCAAAATTATTTTGGTCTTGCAGTCTTGGTCTTGGTCTTGCAGCAAGACCAAGACCAAGACTGAGACTCCAAGACCAAGAACAAAACAAGACCCACACTGCAAAAGTCTTGCAGTCTTGCAATATTTATTGAAGTTCTTTTTTTTTAAAAAATAACCAGAAAATACGTATTTTAATGTAGTTTTTTAGGAATATAATAAAAATGTAATATTGTATTTGACGTACAAAACGTTGCAAGAATTAAGAAAATAATAAATTATTGAATTATTGAAAACAATATCACAAAAAGATTTTAAAAAAAATGGTAAAAAAAAATAAGAATAGATAATGTAAGAAAAATATTCTTTTATTTGCATGAAAAAGAAGTGAATTGGCAGCAATTGGTTTCCAAAAATTAAAATGAATATTGTAACAGACAGTATTAGATATAGGTACTCAAAATAAATCAACAAAATGACTACTTTGGCAAAATGTTTATTAAACTCATCGGCAATTAAGGATTTTTAGTAATTGTACAATTTTCATAAGTGACAATTTCACTGAAACTTAGGACTTAGGGGGGCTTAGCCCCCCAAAATGTATTATAGTCCCCTCAAATTTTTTGATTATTTAAAATTTAATGATAATTTAAGCATGGGATAGTGAGATACATACTAAATAATATGAATATATGTATGACGCAGAGAATTATTCAAAAGTAAATTATATAAATATAAAATATTATTATTATAGTTTAATTTTTAATTCTTACAATCCTACATAATTAATAATAATATTGTTATCTAATAAATATGACGGACAACGGTGGAATATTGCGGTGGTGCTATGTCATATTTTATGTAAAACATATTATATAGAAGTAGGTACATGATTTTTAATAATATAGTATGGTAATAATATTTTATGATTGTTTTTATTTCAATTAATAATTATTGTTCTGTGTCTGCGGCAATGGGGGGTATGGGGGACAAAGCCCCTCATAGCTCACATTGACTATATTTATTTATAGGGCTTCAGCCCCCCCCCCCCAATATTTTAGACCTAGTTGCGCCAATGGCGACGATGCTTCTCCGATGAATGAACAAAATAAAATAAAACAATTTTAGACATTCACATTTCACAGTATTATTTATATATCGTATTATATTGTATATTCAACAGTAAACAACATTTATTTTTATAATTTCTTGACTGGAGGGAAAATAATATTAATAACTGATAATATATGAAAAGTGAAATGACCGTAGTGAAAAGTAATTTCAAGAAATACGAACATAATATAACCATTGATTATAGAATAGAAATAATAGAAAAATAAAGTACGTGACAAATAATAATAAGGCAAAATACTTTTTTTTTTTTTTTTTATTAAAATGCATATTTACGATCTATACAACAAGCAGTACATAAGTAAATTTTATAATATATAATATAAATCATGGCATGTATATCTTGAGGGGGGAAAACCGTCCATCAACAGTACCTCCTAGTTAGTTTGATGGTTTCATATTATAGGGACCGTTTTTTTTTTTTTTGTGAGTTAGGCAAGGGCGTCTCTTGGCCATTTTCTTTTTAACCTCCTTGGAGGGTTGTTGGGGATGGTTATAGAGGACATGCGAGAAATAAGAGGGTTTTGGTTTGAGTGCAGTTTGGAGTGGAACTTTTTATAGTGACGAGTTGCTAATTCGTTCACTGTTGGGATTTGTAGATCCTTATGTAGTACGTCGTTGGTCATATACCAAGGGACACCAGTTATTTGTCTAAGACATATGGACTGGAAATCTTGTATGGGTCTTATATTAGATGGTTTAGCTTGGCCCCATATTTGGATACCATATGACCAAAGGGGGGTAATAATCGTCTTATATATTAATATTTTGTTTTATAAACTCATAGAAGGAGATAATAATGGATGAAGGAGATGCAGGCGTGTATTAGATTGTTTTCTTTTTTGTCAAGTACGATGGGCCCAGGTAAGTCTTTTATCTAAATGAACTCCTAGGTATTTGGTTATATTTTTGATAGGAATTTATACATTATTTAGTGATAGTTGAGGACATTCTTTTTTACTAAGAGAAAAATTTATTTGAACTGATTTTTTTTCATTAATTTTAATTTTCCATTTTTTAGTCCAGTTGGAAATTTGATTTAAATGGAATTGTATATCATGAGTGGCTATGTTTGGGTTTTTGTTTGATGCTAGTATGGCGGTATCATCTGCATATGTTGCTAGAATTGTATGGTTTGTTTTCGGTATATCTGATGTATATATATTGTAGAATATGGGTGATAGGTCACTTCCCTGTGGTACTCCCGCTTTAATTTTATGGTAAGGAGAGTAAGAATTGTTATATTTAATAGTGAAATATTGATCTTCTTGGTAAGATTTTAAAATGAGAAAATATGGAGCAAGTAGAAATGATTTTAATTTGAACAGTAATCCGTCATGCCAAACACGATCGAACGCTTGCGCGGTATCAAGGAATACACATGGGCAGTGTTTTTTTTTTCTAATGATGATGATATTTTATCGGTGATTCTATGTATTTGGTGGATTGTTAAATGATATGATCGAAATCCAAATTGAGTATTTGGGATGATATTCTTTTCTTTAACAATAAAGGTTATTCTTTTAAGGAGTAGTTTTTCGAAAAGCTTCCTTAACGTCGGTAGTAAGCTTATCGGGTGGTATGAAGTTACTAAGTGTTTTGGTTTTTCTGGCTTAGCGATTAATATAATTGTTGAGAATTTCCATATCGGGTGAATGTATGACAAACTGAGCATTGCGTTGTATATATAAGTGAGAAGAAGTATGGTTTTGTTTGTTAATTTTTTGAGAATTTTGTTATTAATTAGATCGTACCCTGGAGATTTGTTGTTGCATAGTTTAGCAATATTTGATTTTATTTCTTGTGGTGTAATTGGTTTAGCTGGTAGTGATATAGGTAGTGGACTGTTAAGAAAAGTTTGAACATTTTTTAAGTATGTCGTTATGTTAGCATTTGTATCTGAGTGGGGTTGGTAAGTTTCTGATTGGTAGTTACCGAATAAATTTGCTTTTTCACTGTCGGTTGTGGCTAAAGTGTTGTTAGGATTTGTTAAAGGGGGGACTAAGTCTATTTTTTTTAGTTCTATTTTTTATTGATTTCCATAAGGAACCTTTGACTGGTGTGAGTGATGACAAGAATGAATGAAATTGATTGTTTTTGAATGTTTGTAGTTCCTTTTTCAATTTGTTCGTTAGTTTGATTCGTATGGTATTTTTTGTTTTCTTACGAACATGTCTGATCTACGAAATTCTGTTGCACGCGTACTAAAAACATTATGATAAACCACAATAGTGCTTCTTCCATATCGTCAAGCATCACTAAAATAACTGAACACTATTGGAGAATAAACAGAAATACAGTTGAAACTGGAATGGAAAACTCAGTAAAAGTTGGAACGTGTTGACACTTTATAAAATGTACGTCTTATTATTTATTTTATATGTCTAACAAAACGTGCAATAAGTCGTTGCATGTAAATCGGGCTTTACGATAAATTGCAATTCCGTAGAAACAGTTGATATGGTATCGATCGATCTATTTCAAGAGAATTAAAGATTAAATTAGCGTACTCAAAATGCAATCGCCATGTTCGTATCTATTAGTTAAAATTAATTTGTGAATTTCTCAACTGACAGCACTATCTTACAGATAAAGTTCCAAATAACTTATTTGATACTAAATCTACCGAATAAAATCTTAACTAAAAGTTTTTATCAATGTTTTATAATTTTCATCATAATATATTTAATTTAACAATATATATTTCTTGTATAGTAAACAACCGTCCGAGGTTAATTTGAAACACGATTGTCATTTTTCACGTCGTTTTAAAATTGCACAATATTATAAAATTATAAATTACTATAAATTAAAATTACTTCAATTTGTTCATGTGTTAATAATGATGATGAAGAAATTGTTGAGTTTCTTTTACGTTTTGTTCTTATTACACAATTGTAATAATAAATCAATTTTGACGTTTGTGAAATTGGTTTCTCTCTTTCTATCTTTTTTTAGCCATACTTTATACATTAGCAAACGAAAAAAAGAATAAAACGTATATTTTTATCCACAACACAACAGTTCAGCAATCAGCATTTAGCATACAATGGAAATATTAAAATTCAAAATATGGCAAAAAAGACATTTATTTTGTCTTATCCATGTCTTATCACAGTATAAAAATGATAAAATCCAAAGAGGTTTGATAAATCTTCCATGATAAAATCAACATGTACCGACTAACAATAGACTTACTACTAAAGTAGTTGGAGCCACATAACCCAAAAAACTATGATATTATTTTCACATTGTAACTTAGCTAATGGTTCCTTTACCTTACAATATTCCTTCAAAAATATCCATTCATTCAGTTGTAATATTTTTAACTTCAAATTATCAAATGCTCTAGTCAGCTGTTGCTTATATTTTAAAATGTTTAAGCTTGAGTCATATAATGAGTTCCAACGAGTTACTACAGAAATAGGAAATTCACAACCACAACTTTCGAGAATTTTATCTGAAGCTACTGTGCTTCTACTAACGAGGGTCCAAAAATATTAGAATAAAACATTGGAAGTTGATGACGAAGGTAAAATTATGAATTTATTTCAGCCCATTAATGTTAATATATTAGAAGTAGCATGGTATGGTAATGAAATTTTATGAAACCTCAATTGTAAATACTTTATTCCAAGAGTATTGAAAATAATAAAATACTTATTAAGTTCAGAATTAAATGACTTTTCAGAAAAAAGTAAAAACATTGATGATTTGTGCAACAGCAAATCTAGAAATCTCTTTATGTTGGGACATACTTCGGTATGTTATGCTGAGAACTGCTGTTCTTCCATTTTATTATTTTTAACAAGTCGTACTCATCATTTTCCAAGTGTTCAAGAATTATTATGTTTATACAAAATTCGTAGAGTTCAAATTAAAGATTGAACTGATTGAGATATTCACAATATTAATATAAATATGTTACTTGAAATAGAACAATTATCTTAGAAGACAGGGAAAAGCTCTGATTTAGGTTTATTTAATTTTGCCCATGAGGACGATGTCATTGAAACTTATTCACAGTCATTCAATCGATTATATAAAAGAGTTATGGATACCTATAAATCTTTGTTTATCATGTCATAAATTGGGTTATAAAATAATGTTATAAATATTAATAACATTAGAAATCCTGTTAGTAATGAACACTAGGGAAAAATCAGTGAATTCGTTGAAACTAACAATTTACCCAGTGATTTTATTTGTTTGTTTTGTATTAAAATATTTCGTTCAAATGCATTACCATGGTACCTTCTTCTTGCATACTTAATAATTTATATTCTCCAGTTACACCTCAGGTACTTTTATGCTTAAACGATTTTGAAAGAATACTTATACAGCGAGCCAAAAATTTTCAAGTTATTAAAATGAGTTCTGTGGCCGGTCGTAAACAACCTAAAAAAAGCTATGATCCAAAAAAGTCATAGGAAGAGCATTCTATTTATCTCTACCATTAGAGAAAACGTTAAAAAAATTACCAATTCCTAACCAAGCTATAGTTGAACATAAATTATATATTCTTGTTTGTAGCATTCCAACGAAAAACAAAAAAATATAACAAAGTTTAATTAAAATTCACCAAGTGTATAATGCGTTGATATGGTTAAAGGGTAATTATAGTTTGTACAAAGATATATCTATTCCACACTAAAACTATTTTTAAAATTATATATTGACTATGAAACTGAATACTATCAGATTTCAATACTGATGAAGATGAAATATTAAATAACATTGATAATGATAATAGTATTAATACTAACGTTGAGGGCTTACATTAACATGCTCAGACATGGGAAAATGAAAATCCTTTACTAATTGATAACACTGGTAGAAAAGGGATATTAATGAGATACAACTGCTTACTTAAGCAGAACCAACCAATGAGTACTATGAACAATACACTATACATATACTTAAGAAACCTTGTAAGAATACTAAAGATTTTTATGAAATGCTAAAAGTAAATGCACAGTCAATTGATCAACGAGATTTACATCAGTTAGATTTAAAAGTGTTTTCCTATATTGTTTCTTTTGGGAAATGATAGTCAATATTCTTACCGATTAGTTTCATTTATGCCTTCTGAATTTATCAAATCCTGATTTTTGTCAATGAACCCAATTTTTATAACTAACATACAACACTTATTTTTCTTGCTTTATGACTTTAATATTAGAGAGTTAAAGGCTGGTATTTATCACAAACTAAATACCAAGAAATCTTCAGAAAATAAACTTTTTTAGAATGTTTAGAGTTACTTAAAAATGAATAGTTGGAAGGCAATTTAACTACTATATTCACAAGATTAAGAAACACAACCCAATACTGATATAGTCAGATATAGAAACTATAATAACTTGGTATGAACCAGTGACTCTTTTAACATTAATTCCTACCGAGTACAACTGGAATACGCTAGAATCGTTCTTAAGGAAAGTTAATAGTACAATAGCAGACGGCAAAAACTATCAGTACTTATAGTATTTGATCCCATTTTTACATCACGTTTTATTAATAATGAATTTAAAGGTATACTGGATTTTTTTACATCCGATGATGTACCATTGGGTGTAATCACACATTACGTATGGCAGCGAGAATATCAAACCAGAGGACTACAACATTTCCATACATTTATTTGGATAGAAGGAACTTTAGTGTTGGGAGTTTCAACAAATGACGAAGTAGCTGATTTTATTGCGAAAAAAATTACGTGTGATAACTTGATAAAAATTAATTTCCAATACATTCAAAACGTATAGATTCATATTAAATTCACAAGCACAATAGTTATTGCATGCGCAAGAAAAATACATTGAAAGATATAGTTCAATGTTGTAGATTTGAATATCCTATGTCTGTTACAAATCAGTTTACAATCCTTGATGTTGCTACATCTAGTATTACTGGACGAAGAAATCTAAAATCGAAAAGAGACTTAATGATATACCACGATCAGAAGAAGAAGCAAATATAAATTATTATAATTCTGCTATTCTATTGGCGTGGGGAGGAAATATGGACATACAATTAATTTGTGAAAATTCATGTGCCCTTAGTTCTTACATAACAAAATATCAGACTAAACCTGAAACATTTAATGTTTCACGAACGTTTGATGTAATAAACAGTAATAAGTCTTTAAATACTAAATTATAGAATGTACCTTTACGGTCACTCAGTAACAGAGATTGTGAAGTTCTAGAAGCATGTGACATGTTGCTAGGTATACCTTTATATAGAACTGATAAAAATGCAATGATCAAATGTTTGGATGTAAAAATAATGAGGAACAGAAGACTGAAATCAAAAACAGAAATAGAAAGTTTGTATAACCAGTCTACTGATCTGTACTACCCTTCGATGATTGATATTCATTACCCAAACACACCCACTGAAATGGAAAATACTAATCTATTCGATTTTGCTAGTAAATACGATATTGTAAAAAAAAAACCACGTTTGACAAAACTTCAATGTTATGAGTATCCCGGTTATCGGTTGATCAAAAAACGACCATGGTCACATTTAATTAAACATTCTATTTATAACTGAAAATTAGAACCAGAAAAGTACTTCCGTTCTTTATTAATGTTATTTGAACCATGGAGTGAAAAAAAAAAAATTAATCGGTGTAAGCAACATATATTTTGAGGCATTTATGATATGTAAAAATATAGTATAATCAGTAATATATTATCATAATCATCTGCAATATCTTATCACATCTAAAGATGATATTAATAGGATTATTGGAATATTGTAAAACAACCAAATGTCACATACTACAAACGAAACAAACGATAAGTTTCAAATTAATTAATTAGAAGAAGCTATGGAAGTGCTACAAAATAATGCAAATAATGCAAAAAAATGAAGAAAATGTAGAAACTTTAATAGAAAACTTAAACTTTGATCAAAAATAAGTATTTGATTTTGTTAGGGGTGAAATAGCAAGTGAAAATAGATCACTAATACGTCACTTTGTTTCCGGTGTATGGGGTACAAGGAAATCATATTTGATTAAAACTATTAAGGCATATGTAACAAACCAATTAAATCGAAATGTAGCTATAACAGATCCAACGGGAATAGCTGCATATAATATACAAAGTATTCGCCGTTTTTGCAGTTACTGGTAGAACATAGACACACCCCACCATACAGACCCTTATCAAATGGTTCTCTTAAATTAATTCGTGAAAAAATGAAAAATGTAATTTTATTCATAATTGACGAGATAAGTATGGTATCTAATGAGAAATTGATTTATATATATTTAGGACTACGTGACATTTATGACACAGGTAACAGTGATGATGGTTGGTTTGGGAAAATCAATATCTTAATTTTCAGAGATCTTCTTCAAGTATCACCAGTGAATGAACAATCGCCATTTCTACCATCAAATGCAAAAAATAGTGATAAGTATCTACATGCATTAGATGCATGCTATAAATTTATGGGAAAAGTTGTTTACTTACAATGAATTAACCAAAAACACGAGAAAAAAATAGAGTAATCCTGAATATGCTAAAATACTGGATAGAATTAGAATTAACACAGTTACACGATCTGACATTCAAACTATGAATAAACAAAAAATTAGTTTTAAAATCAAAAAAAATCCTGCAGATATAATAAGACAATTGTACAAATGAAGCTACCAGATTCTACACTATTTATACTTTCTACAAGAAAACATTGCTCATTTTTAAATAATGTAATATTATCTTTATTATCTTCAGATAACATTCGTTTGGAACCAATTGATTTTGTTTATTGTAAACCATCAACTAAAACAAAGCTATGACAAATCTGTCGAAACTTGATGATGATAGTTCGCGGACAGTTGGTCTTTAAAAATATTTAAAGTGAAGTTAAACTGTAAAATTATGTTACAAAGAAATATTGATGTATCAAGTGGTTTGATTAACGAAGTTATAGGAACAGTTAAAAATATAATTATTGGAATTGATGGTAAGCCTCAACAAATTCAAGTGATCTTTAACGAAAAAATGTATCATCTTAAACCTGTTACAACAAGCTTGAACTTTTTCACGGATCATTCGTATTCAGAAAACAATTTCCCATAACGGTCGCTTATGGAATTACTATTCACAAAAGTCAAATTATGTCGTTGGAAAATTGTATTGTAGATGTTGCTAACTCTACATTTTTTAGTGATCAAACATATGTATACACGTAAAAGATATAATATGGAAAAAATCATCAAATGTTCAGGTCCATAACATTCAAATATTCCAACATCTATTACCAATTTAAATATTTTAGTGTTTTTAAATTTGGATGCGGTTTATTGTTTTGCAAATGCATCTTTGCAAGTAATTTTCAATTGTACTCACATACTAAATATCTTGATTAATTCTTTAGAAGACAATGTATTAAAAAAACTTGCATACTTATATACATCACAAGTATGTCAATTAAGTGTATCTAGTATAAGAAATTAGATTGGTCATCCTTACGTTAACATAAAACAGCAAGATGCTTCTGAGTTTATTAGTGCACTCATTACTTTATACGAACCCTTACACACATTCTTTGCTTCATCAACTTCAAACGATATTAAAATACTCTAGGTGTAAAAAGAGTAGAGTATATATTTCAAATAATTATATAATTCAACTTAATGTACCGAAAACATACAAAAATTGTCACAATGCATTCCATATTGAATGACCTGTCTAAAGAAGTTACAATAGGAAATATAACTTGTGCTTCTAATACTACTTCAAACCATACACAGACAATAAACATACTCAATACTCATGAATATTTGTACTTTCAAATTCAACTTTGGAGTGTGTGAATACAAAAATTACAAATCTTCATATAAATGCATTAGCCACCATAACATATAACGGTTGATAGTAAATGTTATACTTTAAGCTCGATAATTTGCCATCATGGTCAACCTATGACTGAAGCCCATTATACATCAATTATAAAACATCAAAATAAATGGGCAAGATGTAACGATACATCTGTACAGTTTGAACGGTGACCTCGTCGTGCTAAAGACGTCTGCATAATAATAATGGAAAAAAAATAAAAAATATTACGTATAATAATGTACTAGTATATTATTCAATATGATAATTTATAAAAAATAATGATACCCCAACAAAAATACTCCGACATCTCCATGTAAAAAAACACTAAGTAAAAAATAAAAAAATAATAAAAATGCTATAAAATATTTGATAAAAGGTGGAATCTAAGTAAATAGTTTAACGTGTAAAATGTATATGTCAGTAATTAATTAAAATTTAATAAAATTGATTTTTTTTATTAATTTATAATATGAATATTAATTATTTTAATTAAAATTGATTTAAATTTAGTTTACTTGGCTGGAAGATTCAATCTAAGAAATATCTAGAAAAGTTTTTGTAATAGATAACCCGAGAGGTGTTGCTAACCGTATTATCAACAAGCATTATATCATTTATTATTCTATATAAGTTTAAAGTCCAAATTACAATAATTATACGTTGTCTATAGTATATACAGTAACATCTCATATTATTGGTATATCCTTACCACTCAAATCATCCAGATAGGATTAATACGGGGGTCTGAGGAACAGGGCAATAGCAAGAAGAATGGAAGAAAACGATAATCCGGGACCATCGAAGACGATGAAAGTAAAGAAGCCAGTATCAAGGAAAAAGACAAGGGAACCAGTACCTCGTCTTCCTTCGTCTTCATCATCATCGTCGACAGTTCAGGAGATATTATATTATACAATGGGCAAGACAGTAAATAAAGAAGAAATAGAACGAGACATAATTAAAGCCCTACAAAACTTAAGGGCAGATATGATGCTTGGCGAAATAAATTTCGAAACGGTGGCAATATTATCAGTCGTTATAGAGCATTTGCTAATAGAGGAAGAGAAGCGAAATGAAAATTATGGCAATATAATCAACAGTAAAGAGAATCAAACAGAACAAACTCTGAGACTGGAACAGAAACAGAACAGAAAACAAACTAATATGGAGAAATGCGTGGAGAAACGTATGGAGAATCTCTTCGCTACCATAAGAGAAGAAGTGAGAGGTTTGAAGAAGACCATTGAAAAACAGACAGGTACAAATAGACCCATAAGATCACGCCTTGGTCCTATACAGAGACCGAGGACCAGAGAACAAAGGCCAGATACCCCGAGGAACGAGGGGCAATTTACAGTTGTAGTCAATAAAAAGAAAAAAAGATCAAACGCTAAGAAACAAATCGAAAAAGGAAGAAGTAGTGTGTGTTGAACAAGATTCACTAGATTGGTGGAACATAAACAAGACAACTTACCCTATTATGTTCGTTTCAGCAAAAAAAGTTATGACCATTCAAGCTACAAGCTTAGCGTCTGAACGTATTTTTAGTAAAGGGGGATGTATATTAACTGATCATAGATCATCGTTAACTAACGAACATGCCAGTCAGCTTATTTTATAACTATGAATAAGGACTATATAGCTAACCAGTGTTTTAAATATTATTTTATTTTAATTTAACTTCAAGATTAAGACTGACCCTTAAGGTAAAAGGCAGTTCATATTTATTGTATTAGTTTATTTTATGTTTTTATGAATAAATCGTTTAAACCAGACTATTTATTTGATTACTAATATTGGTAAATTATTAGTATTAGATCACTAATATATTGTGTAGTATAAGTATGATTATTCGATTATTCGAGTGTTCGATTATTCGTCATTTCGGATAAAAATCGAATACTCTCAGATTATTCGATTAATTGATTATAATCGAACATTTAACTAATATTCGATTATTGTGGGGAAAAAAATAATCGTGCAGTCCTAGGCCCGAACACATCTAAACCAAAAATATCTCAGCGTGTGACCGGACTGGACCTAACCCAATCCCGTTCCGGGCTTTTTCCGTTCCGGGCTTTTTCCGTTCCGGTCCGGATTGACCCGGGACCGGGCTGATCTTTACCTACCACAAACCCCTTACAACAGTGTGTCCCAACCTTTTTCATCTTGTACCACATGGTAAATTTTAAAAAATCTCATTCTCCCTCCCTCTAAATTTAGAGTTTAGGCGATTTTTTTAGTCATGCTAATTAAACTTTGCACCTATTAATATTAAATTAAATGCAAAAAGGTTTATCCACTATCATTATAAAATATAATTGTTATCGATGCGGAATAATTTGAAAATATGTAGTGATTTCAATTTTAAACATTGCAAATTTAATATATCATAATTATTTTTGTAATTTTATCATCATCATATTCTCTTCCGAGTGAACCCAAAATTACCCTCTCCCCCTTGGAAACCACTGCCCTACAATTACTTAGCATAAAATGTTTTAGTTTTACTATTTAATTATAATTGTAGCAATTTTTATATATTATAACTAAATATTATTAATAAACATCACTATTTTTATCAATAAGCAATCAAACCTGTAGACAGTAAACAAAACAAAGATTCTAAATGATATTCCAGCAATAAACTTGAACATAATAACAATATCACATGCATAGGTAACATAAACACAAATACCCAATATCATATGTATTCACGTAGTATGAGTACGTTCGTGGGCATTAGTGCATTATCAATGCAAACTGGAGTTTATTCATTCTTATAAATACATAATAAACCTTTTTAAACAATAATTTTACCTCAAGATAAACTGGAGGTACTAGTTTAGAACTCGGAGGTGCTAAGCACTCCTTAGCACCCCCGTATGCGCGCCAATGATTTAACCATTACTGTAGTTGAAATAATTAAGAACTTTGGTATAAATATTAAAAACTGTGTTGGACAGTCATATGACAATACCAGTAATATGGCTAGAAAGTACATAGGATTACAAACAAAGATAAAAACACTAGCTTCTTTTGCACTATTTTTACCGTGTGCGGCATACTCGTTAAACACACATTAAACCTGGTCGGTGTTCGTGCATTTAAAAATTGTAACAACGCAGTTGAATATTTTAGTATAATTAAATCTGTGTATAACTTTTTCGTCTTCAGCTCATCGTTGGAAACTTTTATGTCAACATCTAAAACGTAATGAAACGCTAACCATTAAATCGTCTTCACAAACACAGTGGTCCGCAAATGCTGATACAACTAAAGCATTACGACAAAATTATGCTCACATTTTATCTATTTTGTTAGAAATATCTCAAGATAAAAATGAAAACGGCAATACTCGATTTGATGCAACAAACATTTTAAAAAAATTGAAAAAAAGGGAAACCTGAAATTAACTGTTGTATGAGATGTTATATTACAACGAATAAATATAATATCAAAAAATCATCAGAGTTCAACAAAAAATTAATTTTCCATAATGTCCTTATAAAACTCCTTAATAGATTTCATACAATATGTTCGCGAACACTTTTATGATTATGAAAGCAAATCTATAGAACTTTTAAAAAAGGATATTGAACATCAAAGTTTAAGAAAAAAAAACACCAAAAAGTAGACATTCAGATAATACTGATTCTGAAGAAAGACAATTAGATTCAAGAACGAAGTTTATGAGTGATATTCATTATGTTATTTGTGATAAATCTATAGCTGAATTGAATAAACGAAAAATGGCTTACATTAAAGTAAAAGAAAAATTTGAATTTTTATTTAGTAAAAATCCTGATAGAAATGAAATTAAAAACCAAATAAATAATTTACAATCAATGTATACAAATTATCTAGATTTGGATCCTGATATTTTTTTAGATGAATGGTTGCAATTTCATAGTTTAATTTCTTCTCATCAAATGTCAAGAAATCCCGCTGCCCAACTTAAATTCATTAAAGATATGCAAATATCACATGTTTTTCAAAATGTGGAAACGTGTTTTCAAATTTTTCTTACAATGCCTGTTACAAATTGCTCCAGTGAACGATCATTTTCTTCATTAAAAAAAATTGAAAATAAATTACGATCTATATTGAGTCAAGAAAATATAGACGCTCTGGGAATATTATCTATTGAAAGTGATATCATGGCAAACCTGAGTATTGATGATATTATTGAGCTTTTTTCAAAGCAGAAAGCAAGGAAATGTTGGTGAAAACTGAAATAAAATTAGATTTAAAACATTAAATGTAAAAATATTTAATTTGATATATAAGTGTAATATCTAATAAAAAAAACCAATTTAAAAATAAAGTTTGTTTTTTATGTGTTAATTGTTTTACTTGAATAAATATTATACATAATAATCATATTTTTAACAATACAATTTTATTCTATGATCCAACTACTCATATACTAATTACAATAGTACTATTTACGTTTGGCTTGCCGTGTTATTTTCGTAACGTTTGTGAGAAACATATAGGAAAAAACGTAATTGTCATAAAGCGTGAGTAACGCAGAAATTATTTCAGAACGAACTGCGGCCAAAACTATTGCCGTAGTTACGATCATTTAATGCCGTGCGCACATTTTTTGGATTTGAGCAATTTTTTTATCAAGCAAGTGGATAATTTTGCAACGGAAATTCTTAGCACATTACACGATAGTAGCGTATACAGAAAATATTTTCGTGGGGGGCTACTATGGACAGAGTTAAATTGCCACTGCTATCTAAGAATTACTAACAAGGTACTTATCTACATTTAATTTTCAGAATGTCCCAAAACTATTTGACAAAGGCAATAAAAATGATGTCAATTGATCACATTATTTACGTATTTCCTATAGTAAGTATAATCCTGTATTTATGAACAAAGGATATATGATGTAGTACTTGACTATTTAATATATTTCCAGTGGCGGACCTAGACCTTTTGGTGCCGGGGCGGATTAATTTATAAGGCTCCCTTGTACCGGTGGATCTGGGATGTATCCAATACCTGCAAGGCTAAGTGGGGGCCCAGGAATACTTCCTAGCAAAATTTCGTAAAAAGTTGTTAAGTGATAATTTTAAAGTCTTCTAAAGGACAAAATTATTCTTATACTCTACTAATTTATTTTTATATATTTCTAGTAACACTTTTATAATTTGTAGTGAGTAAAATATGAGGTGAATATTTAGGTTAATTAAGTATACGTTTTTTGAAAAAATTAAGTAATAAAGATTTTTTTAAAAAGGCATTTGGAAAATTAAATCAAATATGTTGTATATTATATAAAAATTATATACAGATTATTGCAATATATGATAGGTACAATGTAAAAAAAAAACACTTCTAAAATAAACAATCTTTATAATATTTGTTTCTCTTCTAGTAATTATTTAGAACAGGTACCCTAATTAAAATTTTTTTTCTTCTAGCTTTTACATCAGCAAATTGACTAATTGTTTCATTAAAGTTTATTTATATCGCCAACTGGTTCTCGATGGATAATATTGCTGGTCCATTTAATTTGATTTGGCTCATCGTTGAGCGCAAATCATTTTTAACGATTTTAAGTTTCGAAAAACTTCTTTTACACGTTGTGACTGATATACAAATTGTTAAAAACAACTTTAGTGCTGAACATAAGTTTAGTACAGATTCTGGGAAGTCCATACTTAGTATATTGTTACAATGAACTGCAAAACTTGGCCCATTTCTCCACTTCCTTTTTATTAATATTTGACGCTTGAATATGTCGCCTCAATCTTTTTATTTCTACCAAAACCTCATCCTTGGAAAATTCGTCGTAAAATTCAGTTAAATTAGAAATAAGTTTGGTAATATATCATCATTTGCTTTCATCAAATTGATTGACTGTAAAACTTCAAATTTGTCATAAACGTTATCCGTAGATTTGATTCTTGTTTTTAGTTCCAAGTATAGCTGCTTATGAGAGTTGTTGAATGCATACGTTTTTATCAGTGTGAATATTACATACATGAATATACAAAAATATAGCCATTTTATATTGAGCGATCAGATATGACGTTTTTATTAGGTACAAGGTTAACTGTTCACTGAAAATTCAACGTATTGTGATTTAAAATTCCTAATCTATTACCTACACAGTACGTCAGTACACACTATATTACAAAACTCTTTTACATTTTTTTTTTTAAGTCCAGGGAGGTTTAAATCAGATACCTTGTTCATATATACGTAAGGGACTGTGGGGCCCATTTAGAAAGTGAGGCATTAAGTGGGCCCTTGTTCAAAGTATGTTTTTAAAAATTTGATTTATTTTTAAGAAAAATTTAAATTTTTTTCCTTTTTTTTTTTTAATTTGATTTTTTCAATGGAAAAACTTCACGTGCGTTACGCCAGCACCGCCCATTAGGAAAATTTGATTTTTTTTACTATCAAAAATTAACACGTAATTAGCATGAATTTGCATGACCAATTTCGCAATTTGCATGT